TTAAAATGTTTTAAAGCCAATGAAGTTCTTTTAAATTACAGTCACTGTTCTAACACAGGAAACATGGCAGCCAATTTACACACTGCAAGGTCTCACAAATAGCAAGGTAATAATGTTTTAGTGAGCCTAATTGAGAGACAAATATTGGCCAAAACATCAAGGATAGCCCCTCTTCAAAATATTGTTCTGGAATGCTTGACATCCACAGGAGAGCAAAGATCTTATTTAGAGACAGCAACCTCAAAAGTAAAACGTTCCCGCAGCACAGAGTGTTAGTGTTAATATATTCTGCAATCCTAGATTCAGATTCAGAGGCTCTCAGGTATGCTCACCTCAGAAAACTGCATTAATTTTGGCTGCATCTGGAAACTTCCATCATACCTCGACCTGTACCTGGTACCAAATGATTCTAGGCGTGGAACTTTTTATTATTCTACTTTGACCATGATCAGTCGCCAGTGCATCTCAATCTTAATGTCAAACCATGAGCTGCAATACTTTGTTCCTTCTTGACAGGGTAAATCCTGATTTTATCATTTTCACTGTAATACACGCACACTTGCACATTCCAGTGCTTCCTTCTCTGTAGTCTCTAAGTCACTCTATCTCTCTCAAACTCAATGCCTCTGAAAGAGGTCATTCTTTCTTTCATGCTGCTGCTACACATCTGCAACTGCAGATATTTCACTTCCTTCAGTTGTAAATACAACATCTTTTTTTTTTCATTTTAGCTTGTGAACCAAAATGGGAAAGGAAAATTATTTTAAACCAAGGACTGTGCAAAGAGATGTTACACTTTTAAAAACAAGTTACTGGAATTCATGTTACGAGTTGTGTTTACATTGATGCCTTCTTCAAACAATGTTTGACTCACCGGCATGATAGACATGTTCAGGGCATGTTTTACCCAGAGACAGACTGTTCTCAGTGTGGACCACTTGTGTGGGCCATGAGTCATCAACATGACAGCAACTTTCTGATTGGCTCCTGAGCACATGGACAGCATGCATACAAACAAGACAGGCGCAGAAAACTTCAGATCTTAAAAAGCCAGCATCTCTCTCTCTGCAATGAAGTAACCAAGAAATGAAAAACAGATAGTTATTCTCAGCCACCATTCGCTCAAACCAATGATGAAAATATTGAACATTTAGCGTGCCAATACTGCCCTGTGTCTTTAGCAAAGAAGTGAAAGGACCTGGAAATAAGGAGATCAGAAGAACTTAGAAGAAGCAAAACAAACACGGCATCGAAACCTGTGGACTGATGCTATTGGACTGTATTCCTCCATCTTATTTTACTTTACCCATAACATTTGAGTTTGTTTCAAAAAAAGAAATTGCTGGAGAAACTCAGCATGTCTAGCAGCATCTTTGGAGAGAAAGTTTTGAGTCCAATGACCATTCTTCAGAATGATGTTTGTCTGTCTGTTTGTGACTGTCTGCATGTTTGTGCAGAGCTTTAAGAGGAGGTAACATTTTCAACTAGTAGGGTTATATGTTGATATTTCATATTTAGCACAGAGGTGATGGCCTAGTGGTATTATCACTAGACTACTAATCGAGAGACCCAGGTAATGTTCTGGGGACCTGGGTTTGAATCCCACCAAGGCAGATGTTAGAATTTGAATCCAATAAAAATCTGGAATTAAGAGTCTAACGATAACCATCATCAGGAAAAACTCTTAGGGAAGGAAACTACCATCCTTACCTGGTCTGGCCTACATGTGACTCCAGACCCACAGCAGTATGGTTGACTCTTAACTGCCATCTGAGCATGAATGAGTAAAATGAAAATGCTTGCCTGTTAGAATTATAAATATAATAATAATGATAAATATATAAGTTATAATAATAATTTATATTACAGAAACCTGGCCAGTGTTTTCCCTTCACCTAGGTCCACCAGACTGGTAAATTTAGGACTTCGAGTAACTTGATATAATCCTTAACTTTTGTGATAACCTGCGAGTGGGGCTCAAGGATTAGCACAATTTACCAAGAGGGTTATGACAATGTGTTAAAAAGATTTCCAGTAGTTTTCCACGTTTCTCTGGTTTAATCTGTGTCTACTCTTTGTTTACTCTGTCAATCTATATTCTCATGAAATCATCCTCAGCGTGACTCGCTTCTAATATTACAAATCAACAAACTTTAGTACAATTACCATTGCCCCTCTGGAAAAAAATGATTTATTTGGGCATTCCATCAAAATCCTTCTTATAAGTGGCTTTGGGGATTCAGAAGGGTGTATCATTTGCAACAGAATATACAGCCTCTCGTCTTGACTTGTAGTCAAAGCATTTCTATGGTTCCTCCGTAAAGTTTCTGGTTAATGTTGATGGGAATGAAACAGAGATGATCACACCATCGAATGTCAAGAATAAACAGTTTGACACTACCTTGTTAGCGAAAGCAACTGCCTCATTTATGGGTGACGTGAATGGGATGGTTATTGGCTAGACTGAATTTGTTTTGTGTGTTGTGCACATGTCAGAGGTTTAGGGTTCACATTAGGATTAGGGTTAGGCAATTTGTGTTAGATAGACGTCAATGTCTGTATTGGAATACTTTAACTAGAGTTTCAGCTAGGTTTGGAACACAAGGTATTTAGCACCACAGCTGGAATGTTGTCATGGACTTTGGTATATCCAGTGCACTCAGATGTTTCTTTATTTTGGATCAGTGAATCAAATTGACTTAAGACTGGTATGTGATGGCTGAAAGTTCAGGAAGAGATCAAGATCCTGCTTGATGAAGGCTCCTTAGACAGGACTTTCCAGCCCACAACCACTGCCTTCTAGAAGGACAAGGCCAGCAGATTTATGGGAACACCAACACTTGCAAGCTCCCTTCCAAGCCACTTATCATTCAGACATGGAAACATACGACTGTTCTTTCAGTTTCGACAGGTCAAAATCTGAGAACAACATCTCTAATGGCATCTCTACCAAATGGACTGCAAAAGTTCAAGAAGGCAGCTCACCACCACTTTCTCGACAGTAACTAGGGATGGGCAACAAATCACGCATATCTTGAGAGAGAATAAGAAAAAAATGATGGATGCCTTACTTAGCACTTCTGCCTGAATATGCTTGAGACATTTCAGCATTGTCCTCATCACTCATTTGCTGGGATCAGTTATCATTGTAAATTGAACACATTCATGGTGCCTCTTTCTTAGTTCTTTAACTGTACATTACCATTTAGACAGGAGGTAGCATTACTGCAGAATTTTGAACTGATTTGTTCTCTCTGGAATTGCATAGATATATTTATAATATTCTGCTTCAGTTCAACTTGTGGTCTGTTGTTATAGCTTCACCAGTTTGGCATTTTTAGATATATTTGGTGCTTTTTCTGGCATGTTCTTCTACATTCCTCAGCGAAATGGGTTTGGTTCCCTGACTTGATGGTAATGTTAGAGAGGGAGATAAACCAGGCCATGATGGGACAGTGGAATACAATTCTGTCCATGACAGCGATCCAAAGTCTCATGGATTTGAAGTTTTGAGCTGATAGTTCTGAATCCATTTTATTTAGCAAGGTAATAGCAGCACACTGTCATGGCCAAATGCATCTGTGCCATATAGATTGATGATGGTGTCGTCAAGGAAGTTTATTCCCCTTATTCGTTCTTTCACCAACTGCCCAAAGTCCATTCTGGCAACTATGTTCTTCAGCCAATTTATATTCTATCCCCCTACTACCTCCTGTGCTGCATTGGACACAGAGGATTACAATCTACTGTCTCCATTCCCCCTTAACTAATTAATCAACACGAGGGCTCCTTGTTGAGATGGAGAGAGTCGAGACTATCAAGTTCCTAGGAATGATGAAAACCGATGATCTGTCCTCGACCTCCCACATAAATGCGACAGTCAAGAAGGCACAACAACGCCTCTTCTTCCTCAGGCAGCTTAGGAAATTCGGCATGTCCATAAGGACACTCACCAACTTTTACAGATGCACCATAGAAAGCATTCTATCCAGGTGCATAACAGCCTAGTATGGCAACTGCTCTGCCCAAGACTGTAAGAAACTAGAGAAAGTTGTGTGCACAGCCCAGACCATCACAGTTGATAATCTCCCATCCGTGAACTCCATTTTCACTTCTCATTGCTGCGGAGAGGCTGCCAACATCATCAGAAACTCCTCCCACCCTGGTAATGCTCCCTTCCAACCTCTTCCTTCAGACAGAAGACACAGAAGCTTGAACACATGCACCAACAGGTTCAAGAGCAGCTTCTTCCCTGCCACTATCAGTCTGCTGAACGGACTCTCTAACTTAAAATAATGCTGATCTCGCCAATGTTGATGTAACCTTGTACACCTTGTTCTGTCTAAGCACCCTATAATCTGCCTGTATTGCTTGCAAATCAAAGCTTTTCACTTAGGTATAGAGATAGTAGGAACTGCCAATGCTGGAGAATCTGAGATAACAAGGTGTAGAGCTGGATGAACGCAGCAGGCCAAGGAGCATCAAAGGAGCAGGAAAGTTGACGTTTCCTGCTCCTTGCCCTGCTGTGCTTATCCAGCTCTACACCTTGTTTTCACTTAGATACATGTGTCAACAATAAGTCACTTCAAATCAAATTATGTTCAGTCTGATACCATGAAACTTGCTGGGGGTCAGGAGCAGTTCTTGTTGAGGACTCCCGGGGCCACATCCTCTTCGCTGTATATCACCAGGCCTCTGAATCTGGTGGAGCTGTCTCTCCAACAGGACACGACAAGCTGAGGGATCGTTTTGAGAGAGAGACCTCCATTCCTCTCCCTGTCTTTGAATTATTCCTCCTTTAACATTCGAAACTTCTTTTTCTTTTGTCTTTCTCACAGTTTTACTCTGTGTTTTCTGGCTCTTGTTGTGATTTTCTCTTTGTTCCTATTTCCCACATTGGCCGACCCTCGGTTTTCAGTCACTGTCTCTCCTGTGTCTTTCTCTCGCGGTTGCCATGGGGATGCTCCCGGAACTGCTTCACCCGACCCCGGTAAGTTTTGGTTCCGGTTGGCGGTGCTGATGTGGCCGCTCCTGGCTGTGAAATCGGCTGAGAAACCGAGACAGAGGCAGAGAGAGAGATCGCGGAGCCAGGGACAGCGCCAGTCCCGTCCCGCTGCACCCGACTCGGGCAGACTCCCTGCCGCGGCCCACAGCAGGGCTCAAGGTAGAACCGTGAGAAAGGGCGGCAGCGGGGCCTGGTGCAGGATCACTGGGCGTATGCCTCGATTTGGATGGGGGGTGGGGGTGGTTGATTCCTGTATTGCCAATACTCGGGGAACCCTGATTGCCAAGACTTGGAGGAGGGGAGCAGGAGGAGACCCTGATTGTCAAAGCTTGGGGGGTGGGAAGGAGACCCTGATTGTCAAAGCTTGGGGGGTGGGAAGGAGACCCTGA